TCGATATATCCCTGGGTGGGGAGGTGCGGCGCGGCCCCTCATACCCTGACCCTGTTTAAGACAAATATCGCTGATTTTCCTACCCTGTTTAAGACAGAATTCCGATTTTTGATACCCTGTTTAAGACATTTATCCTGTTTAAGACGAAAATTGATAAATCGATACCCTGATTAAGACAAAAAATGATAAATTCGATACCCTGTTTAAGACAAAACTCCCGAAAAACATACCCTGGCTGGCCGCACGTCCCCATTAAGCCCTTTTAACGGAGTACCCCCCCCCCCCGGTATCGCTCTACGGTTCTGTTGATGCAGATCAGCAGAGCTTACCCTGACTGTATAGTGTTTACTGGACTGGTGTCACAAGTGGAGAAACATATCTAAGGCGGTTCACATCTATGATCTATCCAGTAGAAAAAACAAAATAGGAAAATTTTCGACAAGGTAAAACATCAAGAGAAACATTCTCTGAGAAACCTTACGCCTGAACTGAAGGTCACAGAACTTGGCCGGTGACTAGATTTGTGTCTTAGATTGTGACAATCTAGGACACAAATCTAGTCACCGGCCAAACTTAAACACTGATTGAGTGAAGAACTCCTATTTTAATCGCTTAATCTTTTAATATGACCTAGCCTTGAACTTTTTTTTTTTGTAAATGAGTTTGTAACTTTTAGATTTTTCTTAAATATAATTTAGCTCCGGGGTCCTCCGTAATTATTACAGTGTAACTTAGTTCATAATTGGAAGTTTTGTAACATAATATTAAATATATCTAGTTTTTATCTTATCAATTACTTAAGACTATTATTATTATTATGTTCAAAAATAAATGCCATAAAATAACTTTCGATGCCTCTTGTACTGTCACCAACTTGCAATACCTCTCGCAATTTGTAACAACTGTCCATTCAGTTAATTCCTGTCTTGTGTCGCGCGGTCTGTTCCTTCATGTCATTTGGGTCATCATGCCTTTGAGGCCCTTATCTCTAGATGTCTCTAAGAGGATGGAACCTGCCCCAAGTCCTTTTATCTTCTCTTACGTGTATTCAGGTGATACAGGAGCCGAGTACTGCTATAACCACTGATAAGATTGGAAAGAGCAGAATGTATACTATAAGCACCAGAGTTCAAGGGAGACCTGACAGCAAAAATGCACTCTGAATGGAGGATCATCCCAACTGGACTGAACGAGCTATTAGCTATGAGACAAGGAATGGAAGTATCGGCGTTATTATTGAATGCGTGGACTCGAAGGAGACGTGAAACGTATACGTATTGGTGACGTTGTTTTCAGGTCTGCGAGAAGTGTCAACGTCACAAACGTTAATACAACTTCCTGTAAGTCGGTCGTTTTCCATGAGGAAAACGAGTGAGTTTCCGCCAAACTCGGGGATGGGCCGGAAGCCGAAGTTAGCGCGGAACGAGAAAATTTCATTGTCGCGGCAACCACAGTTGTAGAACAGTCAAAATATATACAATCTTCTCTGCATTAGATTGCATTATTTTATGCTTACTTTTTCAGAAAACACATTTAACGTTCAGACCGACCTCGCAGTTACAATCGCGAATCACAATCAGGATCAATCCAACTAAAGAAATTCGACTCTACTGACAGATTACAGACAGGATAGGGAGAAGGAGTTAAGGAAAAGTAGACTGTCCCCCCCGGGACACTCCCTTCTGTAAGCCCGTTATAGTAGTGTGAGGTGCCGAAGGTATGGTTTGGTCTGATCTGTTATGTGGTTTTAAGACGCAGGGGCACACCCCCACCAATTACCAAGTTTACCCCCCGGTTATGTCCTTGTTTGAAATATTAAACACACAGTCTGCTCTCTAAGCTGAACAATCTGGAGGAGTGAAACAGCGAAAAAAAAAACGGCGAGCGGAGCGAGACTAGCCTGTGTCAGGCTCTCATAGTATAGTGGGGACGTATTAAACGAGCAAAGCGAAAATAAACCGGGCGTTTTCCGCATTTCTTATTACTTTTCACCACCATCTTGGAGCCTGGACCCGGGGGGGTACTCCCATACATTACCTATACGGGTATGTGCCGCCCGAAGGGGTCGTGATTTTGAAGCTCCTGGTTTAGAACGGGGTATCCATTTCAGAGGCGTTTTCTAGAACGGGGTATAATATTTCGAACGCACGAAAGCTCCACTTTTGTAAGCAGCCATTTGAAAGTATTCAAGGACAGATTGCTTTTAAAAATACGGTTCAATGCGTTAACAAGCAAACTGTTGTACTCTTGTCGCACCCTAGAACGGAGTATAAAAAATTGGCCCATTTCTAGAACGGGGTATCAGTTTTGGGGTAAATTCTAGAACGGGGTATAAAAAATTGGCCCATTTTTAGAAAGGGGTATCAATTTTAGGGGAAATTTTTTCTAGAACGGGGTGCCAATTTGGAGTCTTGGGCGGCACACACCCACCCAAAAAATACCCGAGGCCTCCCCCCCCTCCCCGGGCCTGATACAGGCTAGAGCGTGCCTGCGCCTGGCGATGGACTTTCCTTTCCCAGGTTCCCTCCGCTCGCTGATTGTTTTCGCTTTCGCGAAGCCTGGCCCCAGGCTAGTACAACCGTAGTCTGAAACATCAGCCGTTCAGAAAAAAAATACACGATAGGAGTCTCACAACGTAAAGTAGTAAATACCGGAGAAAAAAGAAAACTGAAGGGTTAAAATGTATTTCAGTAATTAAAACCATGACTGCAGTTATCGCTCATTCCCACCTGATAGAGAGAAGATTCCATAACACTTACAGACTGTTCCAAATGAATCATCTTGGTAAATTTGAATCAGTTTATTTCAAAACTGATCACAAGGTTAGAGGATGAGTTGGAAACTGATACGCTAAAACACATCCTAGAAACTGAAAATACTTACGTTTTAGCTGTCACGCCCGTTGAAACCAGGAATATTTTAAGGATATATTTAAGTATCATTGGTGCATCATGTTCCATCGCTCTGAGACGCTTACTGCAACCGGAAGCTTAGTATATTTCGATTCATTAAAATAACTCTTCATTCCTCTTCATTCAGTAAATTAATTTTCAAATATTGAAGGCCATTAAGATGAAAAGCTCTAAAGCCTTAAATTCTAAATATTATGGCCTTCGTAAGGGTTCGTGCCGTTGTGTTTATTCAAAGTCTCCCAAATCTTATGAAGCTTCCGGATCCGGTCTCAGCCTCTCAGCCAAAGTGAAAACACCTGGCAACAACTTCCGGTACGCAACGTGTATTCTGAAATTTGTTGTTGAAATTTGGCTATAAGTACTTCTCTGAACTGATTTGTCTGGTTATAAGTTGCTTCTCTACATAAGGAATAGAACGTTTTCATTTTTTGTCAAAATGGAAAAAGATCTATGCAGGACCATAGTAAAACGAATTAGTACAGGTTATGCTCATGACAGAATACAGAGAGCTCAACAGCTTTTGGAGCAAATTCACTTGTGCGACTGCATGGCGATCGGAGGGAAACGCTGTGCTTGCGTAAGACGACCAAAAGAAGTATTGAATGGAAGAAATAAGACAAGAGATAAAGGAACCCAAACTGAAGAAAGAACCGGTAAGTGTTAAAATCAGATAGAAATGAGGAAAATTGATTTTACAGTCCACAAGTTTAACCCATCGCTTTACATATAAAAGGCTTTCGGCAAAATGTAATTATTATCTTTTTGACGTTTTTTTGTTCAAGTTCAGCTAGTTTCATGAACATTTCTATGTTATGTACAGCGATATATCACTTTGTTAACCAAAATTTTAAGAAACAAGTGATTTGTTATGTTGTTAGGTGCCACTACAGCGCAATATTTCGGACATTTGGACCGAGAAGATGCTGCAAATCCCGTGAACGCAGTTCCTCAACCAGCTATAAGCTTATTGGATGTAAATAGAAACGTTGTTTCCCTGGCCAAACGGAGGCATTTACCTGAGGATGATGTGTACGATGGAATAAGAAATCCTTACGTGTTAATCATAAATAATGTGAACTTTTGGCATATACCTCAGCCGAGAACGGGTGCTCAACACGACCTCGACAACGTGATGAGCTTTATCAAAAAAGCTGGATTCAAGACTGTAGTACAATGCCCTGATTTGAGGAAAAGCAAGTTGCTGGACTTACTTGAGGAGACTCGACAAAGTGAAGTATTAGGTAAGGAGAATAAAAACTGTAATCTTTACTTCCTGGGTTTTAGCAGTAAATTCTAAATTTCGTTTGTGACCGGAAGTTGTAAGGCGAACATACCTGCATTTGGTTGACTGGAAAATCCGGATCGGGGACCAAGGATATCGGATCGGGGATACAAGTATTATATTTTCCGTTTTGTTTGGTTTTGTTCTTTCGGTGGAGGCGGGGTGGTGGTGGGGCAGTTCCAATAAAAAATAATGCCCTGTTTATATGAAAAGAACGATATTACCAAAGTCTATGTGCATGTCACTTCAGTTGGTGATCGATGAACGACCCTTATACTCAGTTTATTGATGGTATAGCGGTATTTAAAATGCAATCAATATATCGAATCCTTTAGCTTATCAGTTGACCTAAAATTCCAGACGTTTTTGGCAACAAATGTATGACTCCCTTCTTCATTCCTATTAACACCTTTTGGTGTCTTCCTTCTCTGAAAAGCATATTAGATTGTATAAAATTATACACTTGCAATATTTTTTATTTTATTTTTTGCAGTTGAACATGACAGTTTCATCTGCTTTATAATGAGCCACGGAGATGAGGAGGGCATCCTTGGAGTGGACAGCAGGGCCATACCAGTTGACGAAATAACAGCCAAATTTCAAGGTGGCAAATGCCCCTACCTTGCAACAAAACCCAAGTTATTTTTCCTACAAGCCTGCAGAGGGGATGTTGACGATGAAGGATATTTGGTACCAAGAGGACCAGGTCATGTCTATCCCGATGCTATAGATGAGATGCCAGTCAAGCTACCCTCAGATGCAGATTTTTTGATAGCATATTCCACCACAAAGGGGCATGTATCAAACAGGAGGTTTGCTGACAACGTAAGGGTTTCTGAATCCATTGGAAAATTTTTAGGTTCCTGGTTTATTTCCTGTTTGGTACAGATTTTGGAAACTTATTCAGGAAGAGAAGATTTGATGACAATGCTGACAAGAGTAAATCAATCCATGTGCAAGGAGTATTCAGTACCAGGAGGATTTAAACAAATTTCCTGTCAGCTCTCCATGCTAACTAAGAAGGTGTACTTTACTAATTTTCAATGATTGAGACTCTGTTGCAGTGTAACTTATCCAATATATTTTGACACACCATCTAGCATTGATGATAATTTTAAACCATGACCACTTCCCAGACAGAATTACTTGCTTTCGATTTGAGATTGTTTCTGCAAGGCCCAGTTGAGACCTAACCTGCAAATACAGGCCTGTTTTTGAGGTGCAGATGTCTCTCCTGCAAAACATCTGTAGCAGCAAGGAGCAAGGAGAGACAACTGTATTCAAAGGCTATATTCAGACCACGTAGTAAAAATTGCATTTTTTAAGTAGCACCATGGCACCTTTGGTCGTAAATACCTGTAGGCTTTCAAAGAAATTTTTAAAAGGGCCACGGATGTAAGGATGGCTCCATATTGTTATTATGGACTGAGGCCCTTTGCATTTAGTGCCCTGCTTGAACTCCCAACATGATACAAATTGTCAGTGTCATAGATGTTACCCCATCTCAATAGTTGCCCAGAGTATCAAACTATAAATGAAACAGTTGACAAGAAACTGTTCTACTGGATTCTTAATCTGCATGAAACTAGAAAAAATGTCAAAATGGTGTTTGATCAGAGCTTCTCAAACTCATTAATAAATAATTATTTATTATTCATCACCATGGAGATGGTTTGGATCATGTGCCCCCACAATATTAATAGTTTGAGAGACTGCACCAAACACAGGAAAGAGATTTCCATAAGGTATCTCAGTGGTTGAATATTTTGATGACACAGCTTTATTAAGAAATAAAACCACATTTATTAGTTAAAAAGACATATTTAAGAGAGTACATTTTAAAACTAACTGATTCACCAAGAGGTAGGCATTAGGATTAGTAGATAAATACTAGTCATAGTTTATTGTTCTTTTTACCATAAATTATTACTATGAAAGATGTAAATAAAGAGGCGACTTTTCAATTTATTGGAGTGTGATTAAGTCATTGGTACCAGTGATGAAGCCTACAAATACAGCTATCTCTTTGTAGTTATAATTATTTACTAGCAAAATAATGTAGCAGTTGCAAAGATCTGCATATAAAGAATACCCCCTGTGATAAACAGGCCTGCCACTTAGGGCTGGGGGCTGGAGATTTCCCCGGACTACTATAAGCATGAGGAAGCAAAAGAACTTCTGAGCTCTTCTATCACCATCCCCCATCCCCCTACCAACTTCATATACTCTTCAACTTGATCTCTTAGAGGCAGTTACACAAAGTCTAACTTAGACAGTGGTTAAAAAATCATTGGTGGATAAATGTTTCTCTTGTCTACCCTATATGGCTTCAAGAACCTTTTCATGATAAATGGACTTTACATAAAAGTGTTTTGTTTAACATTGGCGAAACTTCATTTAAATAACCAGCCCTACTGTAGGTAACAGCCCCCATGCAATCTGATGCTTTGCAGAATGGGTTACAAAGAAATGTATTTGCAGGNCCATAAATTATTACTATGAAAGATGTAAATAAAGAGGCGACTTTTCAATTTATTGGAGTGTGATTAAGTCATTGGTACCAGTGATGAAGCCTACAAATACAGCTATCTCTTTGTAGTTATAATTATTTACTGGCAAAATAATGTAGCAGTTGCAAAGATCTGCATACAAAGAATACCCCCTGTGATAAACAGGCCTGCCACTTAGGGCTGGGGGCTGGAGATTTCCCCGGACTACTATAAGCATGAGGAAGCAAAAGAACTTCTGAGCTCTTCTATCCCCACCCCCCACCCACACCCCCACCCCCCTACCAACTTCATAATTATACTCTTCAACTTGATCTCTTAGAGGCAGTTACTTACACAAAGTCTAACTTAGACAGTGATTAAAAAAATCATTGGTGGATAAATGTTTCTCTTGTCTACCCTATATGGCTTCAAGAACCTTTTCATGATAAATAGAGTTTACATAAAAGTGTTTTGTTTAACACTGGTGAAACTTCATTTAAATAACCAGCCCTACTGTAGGTAACAGCCCCCATGCAATCTGATGCTTTGCAGAATCGGTCACAATGAAATGTATTTGCAGGCACTAAGTTTTTATGTGAGATGTAAATCACTAGTAAAGCTAATTGTGTAATAAAAACCATTAACTTAATACTTTCTCCAAAACTGTCATTGCCTTCGTCAGAAAAAATAATATCCATGTAATAACATGGTGCACAAAATAATCCTGTTAAAATATGTCCACTGTAGTTCACCCATTTAGTGATTAGCAACATTTTTCAGAATAGTTTCAAAGCAGAGACATCATTTGTGTGCAATATTGCTGACAGGTGTTCCGAACATAGCTTCCCCCAAATCCTCACTCAGCTCAGCAAGCTTCTTGGGATTGTTGTAATGAGTAACAGCTTGAGCCATTGCCCAAGCTCGTTTCTTAGGATTATCACTCTTAAATATTCCTGACCCAACAAACACTCCATCTACACCAAGCTGCATCAACAGTGCCACATCAGCTGGTGTGGCTGTACAAAACAAAACAAAACAACAATAATCAACACTGTAAAAAATTACAATCCAACTGCCGTGCAGTTTTCTACAAACCAGACTACAACATTATTATTTAAGTAATTGAAATGATGAATATAAAAATTCTATATACACACGTATTTGAACTGTGGGATGAAGAAATAAGTGCAGAGAAGACACATAGCCTATGCAGTAGCCAAGAGAAAGCCTAGGAGCTGGTCATTAAATTGGTACCTTTTAAGGTACCAATAAAAAAAACAGCCCCAAGAAAGATAGATGAAAATAATGATACAATATGAATTTCCTATTTTTGAACTGTGGGATAATAATAATAATAATTTAATTATCCTCTCCTCTTATGGAGCTTTTTCGGGATAATGAAACAAATAAATCAAATTTAACACAACATGGTTAAAAATTTCAACTGGTAGGAGGCAACAAACCAGTTGGCTATTAAACAAGCGTGGTTGAGGATTTGAACTCAGGATTACCAAGAACAAATCCAGCCAGCAGTCAGGGCAGGACTTGAACTTTGGGCCTCCGAATTACAAGTCCAGTACTCTAACCGCTCGGCCACTTTGCCTGACCAAAAAATGCAGAGACGATCATTGCAGTTAAATATGCAACTTAAAAGAGAGTCAGAGCAGAGTCAATTTAGTTAATAATGCTGAAAAGACAGCTGGATTTTTCTTTTTTGGACCAGTGCACACCATGTTCACTGGCTAGAACATGAGCATACATTATGTAGGATGAGAACGTGTGTTTTTTATCTGGTGGATAGCACTTATTTACTAGTGTTTGAAGAACCAGGCCTTGGTTGCCAGTACTTGGAGCTACATCCTGCATACTGCCAGGACTGTATTTCCGATAGGTGGCATATGCCAAAATATTAATGATATAAAATTAAATGCGACGGTAAAATTTATTTACCCAGGTGAATACATGAGAATGATTTTTATTCAGTCAGCGATACTGTTACAAGTGACTCGCAGAAGAAAATCAGAACCGAGAATACCATACTTACCAAGACCTCCAGCAGCGAAGTTGACAACTGGTAACCGACCCATCTGAGCAGTCTTCTGAAGGAGCTCAAATGGTACTCTTAGTTCTTTTGCATAAGAGAACAGTTCAGCAGAGTCTAGTGACTGAGCGTGACGAATCTGACTGCGAATGGTTCTAGCGTGACGAACAGCTTCAGCAACGTCACCTTTAAGTTGAAAAAGAGATGTTTGAAATCAAAAACTACAATTCCACCACTATTAATTAGTTGAACAGTTGACTCTTTCTTTTAAATACTGGACAGCAGTCTTTCAAACAGACAAGTCCATGTAACTGACACTTAGTAATGATCTCTGCCTTTCAGACCTTTACAAAAAAAAACTTAACAACTTGTTCTACCATTTTCCCCCTATTTTTAAAGAAAGCAGTCAAAAATACCCTTTTTTGCATGCTTTTTAGCCTTTCGTAACACCTTAAATAGCAGGTTTTTTGTGTTGTCACAGCCACAACAAAAACAAACTAAGTGAGGAAGACTTAGGACCATGTACATACACATTCTGCTTGAGGACATTGGATTCGTCACTACTGGAGAACTCAGAATGACAATGCTAGACCAAAGTGGCTGGTGAGGGAGAATCCATGCTGTCCAGGCAAGTGTTCAACAAAACTAACAAACTTTTAAAGCAGATACCTCTCAGGATGGACACTTAGTGCAAGTCCGAAGGACTGTCCATCTTGGAAAGAAATAACTGAAAACATACACTGTATTTCCTTGTGTAATATTCAGGGGAGATTTTTTTTTCGCATCACAAGCTGGGGTCATTACTTGAGGGAAGGTGATTACTCGAGGGAGGCAACCATTTCAAATATTACTTACTGGAAGTCATACCCTAAATATTTTGTTTTATTATCCCATTAAATCAAAAAATTATCACATGAAATAAACTGAACATGGCCTTTTTAAGTGTTTCAAATTTAGTCCCTTGATTAATTTTCAGAGCTCAAATCGTCACTGATCAGTTGTGCTTGATAAGATTCAACTTCAACTTGACAGGGAGGAGGAAAAGAAAGAGAAGATGGCGAGCTGGGTGGGGAGGGGCAATATTATTATTCGAGGGAGGCCATTATTTCAAATATTTCCATCAAAGGGGGGTGATTATTTGAGGGAGGCAATTAATTTATCGAGCGACAGCTATTATTCGAGGAAATACAGTAAGCACTTATTTTAAAGATACAAGACTGATTTTCAGCAAACATTTCAAAATATGGTTTTTTGAGTGTAGGCCTGCAGGAAACTGCTAATGGACTCAGAATCGTGAGAGGCCAGAAGTGAGGGGTTTAGCCCTTTTGTGGGGTAAGCGATTGAAAAGGATTCTTAATAGACAAGTGCATAAGCTGTTGAAGCATCCTGGCCAAAAAGGGACAATAAAATTGCCCGAAGATTAAAGCCTCCATTTGCTGACATCATTCAGAAAAGTTCATTAGGTAATAGGTTTGGCTGTTGAATATCACCAAAAAAGTGTCCATTTACACTGGAAG